AGCCCTGGCGGAGCCCAACACGCACCTGGAACACGTCCGACTTATTGCCGGCAATGCGGACCAAGCTTCTGGTAAGCAAAATTGATTACTGAAATATGGACAAGTATACAGAATAAAACTGACCTCTAAAATAATAATCTTACCTACCCAGTATTACCACTGGAAAACAGGATATAGGTGCATTTCCATTTATTGCAGCAGTGAAATTCAGTGTTTCAGTCAACTTTAAACTGTTAATTTGAAGCCCCCCAGTTTTAGAATCCAGTTGACACCTCTGTCCGACTTTACATATGGCATAAAAAACAATTCCATTCACTGAGTCCCACTTTGCTGTTATGTTCGGGCCATTTTTCCATGTGATGCTGGTGATGGGCTGGTCCACTTTAGGAACCAGTGTAACTTTTCCTCCTGCTCTTCCAAAGACCTCTTTCACCTCCATCACTGCATGGGTAGCAAACACATCATACAAGATTTTTGTTTAAGTGAAACAAGTTTTAATGAAATTATCAAGTCAAAGTGTTTCTTTAGAGGAACTGCAGCACACAAGAGTCTGCAGATTTCATGCCACGGTGCATTGTTACAATGTGTATATTTGAAACTCAAAATATCATTCCACTGTGCATTGTTACATTCCTACGGAAAAGCCTCTGATTTCATGAACTCTGGCATCATCACATACCGGGCATTGCATTTTGGGTAGAGGGAACCTTCTTTGAGATAAAGCTTTAATAATACTAATAATAATATAAATGCTACTGTTATTATTTCTAGTACTATTTTTCCCAGCTTACCTTCATTTCTCTCCCTTTTTGGTCTGAAAATAAAACTTCATTGCACTATATTGCTCTCCTCCCCTGAGCCATTTCTTGGTCACTCACACACCATGACTGAGTATTTCTGAGTGACTGACCTGGAAATAATTCCACTTCCTTGACAGGGTCACTCTCCTCCGTACTCACAGGGTTACTGAACACACATGTGTAGATTTTATCCAGCTTATCACTCTTCTGAACATGGAGTGTTGTGGTATCATCTGCTATCATCTCATTGTTCTCCTTCCAGGAGTACTTGGTATATGTGGTGTCCGTTCCCTCACATTCCAAAGTACACTGGGTATTTTTGCAGGTTTTCCTGACACTGGGTTTGGACACTGGTTCTGTAGATCGGTGTAAAGACACAATTAAATGAAAATGCAAAAAATACCAAGATACGCAAAACTGATTACTGAAATATGGACAAGTATACAGAATAAAACTGACCTAAAATAATAATCTTACTTACCAAGTGCAATCAGTGTAAAAAATGACTGAGCTGCCATTCCATTGATCTCAGCAGTGAAATACAGTTTTTCAATGGGTTTTAAATGCATAATTTTAAGCTCCCCAGTTGTATGATCCAGTTGACACCTTGGTCCGGGTTTACATATGGTATAATAATCAGGCGTTGATTGACCTGTTTCCCACTCTGCTGCTTTGTTCAGGCCACTTTTCCATGTGATGCTGGAGATGGGCTGGTTCACTTTAGGAGTCAGTGTAACTTCTCCTTTTACTCTTCCAAAGACCTCTTTCACCTCCCTCCCTGCATGGGTAGCAAAGACATTATACAAGATGTTTGCACAAATTAAACAGGTTTTCATGAAACCTTTTTCCCTGCATGAGTAGCAAACAGATGATACATGATGTCTAAACAAGTGCAGCAAGTCTTCATGAAATGATCGGGTCAAAGTGTATCAAACAGCACTCTGAGTGCCACAGAAAATCAGATTTTAAAGTGAATATGTCAAAGCTCTTAGGTTTAAGCTAATAAATAACAGCGCTACAGGCATCCCTATTTAGGGATGATTTCAGGTAGGTGGAAATTCAAAAATGTTCTGATATTTGTTCCCAGAATTTGCTACCTTATAGAATATCTGGTGATTATTGTATTTTTTTTGGCCAAAAAATCCTACCCATACTTTTGAATGGACATTAGTCTAAGGATTTATGCTACCAAAATAACGGTCCTATACTTTAAATGGAGGTAGCAGTTTTTTACATGTAGGTTTTTGCTGCCAAGAGCCGCTACTTTTAGTGTTCAGTGGGGTACCAGTAAATACATAAACAGCTACTGTATATGTCTGTATGAAGCGGAATAAACGGAACGCTACCGTTATCCTATTTATTCTGAATATCCATCCACCGCGTATCCTATGCAGGGGATCACATAGGCGTTTCACATATAGACAGGACTATTTCATTCTCTAACAGGGTTTATCTACTGTCTTAATTAGACAAAGATTTTCCGTGGTAATTCACGCATAATTAGATACTAACATAATGTCTTCAAACTGACGAAAACAAGCAGCGTGCGTTTCAAGGCGTGGCTGGAAATATCATCTAGATAAATAAAAACGGCACTTTGGATATTCAGCGGACACACTGTAGCGTTAATTCATCGGTAATTTAGGTTATTACATCCATTCCTGATTAACTAGTTGTACTATATACACGGGAATATACTTCCGGAAGTA